TATCACAGCTTCGAGCTGGAAACACTATCGATCATTTATGCTCTTCGCAGATTTAGAATATATTTAGAAGGTGTACCATTTAAAATTATTACAGATTGTAACTCGTTGACTATGACCTTAAACAAAAAACAGATTAATCCTCGGATAGCCCGATGGGCGCTAGAGTTAGAAAATTTTGACTACTCTATCCAGCACCGTGTCGGAGTCAACCTTGGCCATGTAGATGCTTTGAGTAGAAGTCCGTTATTGGAAAAGGAATATGATAGTATCAATTCAGTTCTTAAATATGAAACAAATGACTTTGCAAGTCCTCGGTGCGCTTACCCTGTAGAATCGAAGCTGCTGTCTAGCTCTGAACGCCAGATAAGTCATATGAATAAATGTGAGTTAATAGCCGCTGTAGATTTGGATGACTTGGATGTTCAGATACAAATCGCACAGAATCGGGATGAGAAGCTCAGGGTACTTATGAGTAAATTAGAGAAGGAGGAGGTTGTAGGATATGAACTAGTAGACGGATTAGTATGTCGTAGGATTGGGGGGAAGATAATGCTTTGTGTTCCTTTGGAGATGCAAGAAAATGTAATTCGCACAACACACGAGAAAATCGGTCATTTAGGTACTGAAAAATGTTACAACCAAATACGCAAAACTTATTGGTTTGAAAATATGAGGGATAAAATCAGCAGATTTATTCAGAATTGTATCAAGTGCATTATATATTCTGCGCCAGCCCGTTCCAATGAGCATAATCTTTTTAGCATTCCTAAAAAACCAATACCATTCGACACCCTCCATTTAGATCACTTCGGTCCTCTACCAGCAATTAAGTCAAAGCGGAAACACATACTAGTTGCTATAGATGCATTCACGAAATTCGTCAAATTATATCCGGTAAATTCTACGAGTACAAAAGAGGTATGTTGCTCACTGGACAAGTATTTCAGCTACTATAGTCGTCCACGACGTATCATAACTGACCGAGGCACTTGTTTTACTTCCCTCGAGTTCAGTAACTTTTTATTGAAAAGAAATATAGGTCATGTGAAGGTTGCAGTGGCATCACCACAGGCAAATGGTCAAGTTGAGAGAGTCAACCGTGTTCTTAAGACAATGTTGAGTAAACTTACTGAGACTATAGACCATGCTGATTGGACTGCGAAATTGTCTCAAGTAGAATATGCGCTAAACAATACTGTCCATAGTACAACCAAACACACTCCAAGTGATTTGCTTTTTGGTGTTAACCAACGGGGTTGCATTGTAGATGAATTTACGGAATGCACTGAAGAAAAACTGTTGGATGAAACGACCAGGGACCTTGAGAAAACCCGACAAAGTGCACTTAGGAATATAGAGCGATCGCAGGATTACAACCTACAATACTTCTTAAAAAATAGTGTCCCCGCAAAGACATACTCGATAGGAGATTTTGTAGTAATTAGGCATGTTGATACCACAGTTGGAACTAATAAGAAATTTATTCAGAAGTATAGAGGCCCTTATATTATACACAAAGTATTGCCGAATGACCGTTATGTTATAAGGGATATAGACAATTGCCAATTGACACATTTACCATATGACGGCGTTATTGAAGCTATAAAAATTCGTAAATGGTGCTCACCAACTAACAATCGTCTCGAGCCTCTTCAGTCACCAACGGCAATAGGTCACACAACCTCAACAAGAACTGTCAGCTGATTGAGGTCAATCGTAAAGTCAGATTGGTCGAGATGTAATGTTCCCTACCCACTTGTAAACTAATTATTTATTCAAGTTTATATGTATCACCCAGTAGTTGTCATTTGTAGATATAAGATACACTAAACACTCTGTACCGAAAGAAGGAGCCATTTTATCCTTCTTCTTCCGGTGACAGCTAAAACGAGGAGACGTGCCAGAAAAATAGTAAGAAATAAATCGAAGTATATAAAAAGACATCTTTGCAATTTTAAAGACTGCGTTATACTAGCCTCATAAGCTACTGAAATTTTTTTCACCTCATAGTTGTCAAAAATTTACTCGCCGCGAACTTTGTTACCGATTCACACACGCTCATAGTCTGTTCCTTAGAACTTCGGACTAAAACCTGTGGAACTGTAAAACTACAATTTTACTCTCTCAAGTGAGAGTAATAGGAGAACAGATGCAGAAGTGCACGGGAACGCAAAAAGCACTATTTCCTGTAAAAACGTCAGTTGGTTTGTTTACATGTCATTGGTACAAAACTGATTTGGCTGAAATATCACTAAATAATTATTAAAATCTATACATATTCAAATATTTCGTTGTTATCTTCCTTTTTTTACATATATAAGGTTCTTTCCTTTCACCGCTTTCTGTTTTTGTTTGCAGATGCAAATCAGCTGATCGTTTGACACTTTTCATGAACTTACAGGAAAAAAAACTCCGGACTAAATCCTGTAACTTCTGACTAGGAACAGTTGCTCAGTTTCTCTCTCAAAAGTGTTCCCACCTACAGGTTTTATGTCAATAGGAACGACTTCCTGTAAGTTCTGACTAAATCCTGTAAACCCACCTGCTATTGGAACAGACTAATATTTTACACCTTCATTTATATATTTTCTAAATTAAATTATATATTTCCAACCACTTGTGTAAAATCACAGAAATTCACATTTGCCGCTTTTCTTCTGTTTTGTTTGTCTTTTCCGTGGTCGCCGCGAAAATAAAAAATCTGCCGCGGACAGAGTCAAAACGGAGACAAATTCCTGTTGCAAACGTTTCAGATACGGTCAAAATCGGCGCGGCACATTATCAAAGTAACGAGTTGTCTCTTCTTATAAATTTACCTTCTTTGGTAAAAATATATTGTAGAATATTAACTTAATTTCCCAAGCTTTTTCAGAGGTACTGAGCTCAGACAACTCTTCTAATTTTACAATGGGGGCTGAATTTTCGTCACTAAAAACAAATTCCTCGGCGCCGTTTGGTCCTTATGCCTCCATTCCTAGGTTCTGCTTGAGTTCCACGTTGGCGTTGCATTGTATTTCAACACTGTATGCAACAAGATACAATGATTTGAAGAAGTACATGATAAGTCAGAATCACGAAAAAATGCAAATTTTGACAGATCACATCTCCGAAGAAACAAAATTAAAAAAATTTCCTTGAATACGTGTTACCTTATTTCATGTATAGAACCCATGAAAAAAAAATTGAAGCGAATCGGAGCCATGACATAATTTTTTTACGAAATCCGTCCGACTTAAAAAAGAATGGCTCATATATTTTTACATAAAGCCACTGAGTTCCACCATTGTAACATTTATCAAAAGAATGAAAGTTAACTTGACTAGACCCATCTTGGCAGGGACGGAAATTGAGTTCTCAGTGAAGTATCTTGGGGTAACTCTGGACAAAAGAATCAATTGGAGCTCAAATCTCTCGAATGTTGCCAACAAGGCTACAAGGGCGTTTTATGCCTGTCAGAGACTTCATGGTAAGACTTGGGGGAATATCCCCCTAACTAACTATAGGTCTTTAAATACGGTAGTAAAACCCGTTGTTATATATGCGACACTGGCCTGGTGGCCAAAAGCAAAGCAAATAAACGCGGGTGCCACCTTGAGTAAGCTGCACCGAGTGGTCCGCGTGGCCATCACATGAGCTATACGCATCTGTCCAACGGATGCCCTTGACATGATTACGATGGAGCGCCCTACGGCTGCCCAATGCGATCAGCATGAAAAGTGGAGATCTTCGGGGTTATTTGGAGATTCTTAAGCCATTTCTAGATGATCCCAAGTTATCCTTTTACAAACCCTACAAGGTCAGAATTTCGGAAAGGGAGTGCTGCGAAGTGATTATAACTATGATTGACGAAGGGTCCCAGGTAAATATGGTATATCGACGGATCGAAGACGGACGACGGGACTAATGTGGCCGGTGTACTTGGACCAAGATTCCAGGAAAGTCTGCCACCAATGGGCACATAATAAACCGTATTCCAGGCAGAAGTCTTCGCAATCGAAGTCTGTGTTCGGGTATGTCCTTGTAGAAGGACTAACGGGGCCAGAATAAATATTATGTCGGATAGTCAGGCAGCCTTAAAGGCCTTAGACTCTTTTAAAATAGCCCCAAGGTTTGTGGACGGGAGCCCACAGTAGCGTAACGTTGGAGTGGGTTCCGGGACATGAAGGGTTTGAAGGCAACGAAAGGGTTTACTGTCTCGCAAAGCCTGGAGCCCAAAAGCGCTTGCATGGTCCCGAGCCTTTAGTGGGCTGGTGGAGGAAAGGCCAGAGCATATTCTAAACTGACTGCCCAAGTATCGCGAAAGTACACCTTGGGGAACGATTGTCTCTTCCATCCAAAAGTTGGAACATGGCCCTCTCCAAAGGGCTTAACTTCTTAAATAGCCCGAGGTTAGAGTGATTACAATTTAGCACAATAATCTCCTTAGGTTGCAGCGGCAGTATTCCTGACGTATTAATATTAATAATGATAGTAATATATATGTGTAAAGAGACATATATTTGTATGTCTGTGCAGTAAAATGGATTGTTATAAGCAGTTAATTTATTTTTATTGTACTAGCTCTCTTTTACGACTCTATTCTCTATTAGTGACAAAATCTTGTCACAGTGTTTCTTACGGAAAAATTTATGAAAAAGTTTAAATTTGTCAGTAAAAAATTATTTGTCAGCGACACAGAATTGGGCCATTAGTTTTACTTAGGGCCGGTTACTCAAAGTCTGGTTAACACTAATCTGCGGTTAAACATCGTTATCGACGTCTACGACCCCATGCATACAACAGGGAGTCGGTAACGTCGATAACTATGTTTAACCGGGGATTAGCGTTAACCAGACATTGAGTAACCGGCCCTTAGTGTTATGTTATCTAAATTTTTAATAAACTTGACATTGGAAAAAT